TCATTAAGAAGCCTAAAAATCATACGTTCCCTTAGGTACAACTCGAAGTGGCAAGTGGGACAGTGAAAGATATTAATTAGAGTGTTCCATTATCCACATCTTTTGTGCACCTGTACATTTGCATACTAAGATGAAAGAGCAAAATTGGCGTGCATATCTCCAACAACAGACGTTAGCTAGAAAAAAAAACCAATGTGGATGACACGAAGCAGAAGGCCATCCGAATCCCACAACAGAAGTCAGATAGAAATAACCAATGGGGATTACATGCAGAAGTAGGCCATCCAAATTCCAGTGTCTTTCATGGAACACAATTACAAACCCTGTCCTCGCACATCTAGCCTGTTCCACTACCCACTATTGTGCTGGTGCTGGATTGACTGGTTAGTGCCTTAGTGGTCACGCACCTAATCACGCTTGCAACTGAGAATAAGTGTGTGAGATGAACAATCTTTCCTGAGAAAAGATTCCATGGATGTTCTGTCACAAAAATGAAGCAAAAGATATTCAAGAAAGAAAACAAAACAGATAACACTATCTATCTTACAAATAATCCTGTTAACCATGCGTGCTTAAAATTCTAACCTAAAAGTGCTCAAGGTTCTACCCAAAAACATGTTAATTAGTGAAAGACGCCACATATAAACCTTTTCATTCTCTTTTTCCTTGGAATTGCTACATAACTGTTCCTACCATAACAAAGATCCGCAAAAGTAAAACGTAAAACAAAAAAACTGCCAAGCAGCTGCATAGGATCACCAAATGTTCTGTTGAAATCCACTACTCAGAGACCAAAGAAACCAAGCTCACTTGCTCTCTCCTTTTCAAATGTCTCAAAGTATTGATAAATGATTGTAACAGCGAGCAAAATTCCTTCTGCCAGAACCAATTGCTCCCATGAAATCTGCCAAGACTGTCAATGCTCCAATGCATTGATAAATTAATAACGGCTCTGATTGTCTCGATTGATGTGTTTTAAAACAGATTAGATTTTATCTGATAAGTTAGCGATCCAGTTAATTGTACGTCTCAGATTAAATCAGATCAATGGCTGTGATCTAAGGTTTTAATCAAAACCTACACCGATTCTTGCTGTAATGTTTTTTATTCCTAACTTCCTAAACCCTTCTTCTCTTCAACCAAAATCATTTCTTGCTGTAATCTTCATGCTTGCCTTTGTTAAATGTTAAGTTTCCAATCCATACACGACCTAAGTGTGGACTACCGTTGGGTGTGTGTATACTGCATAGTGTTTCAAATTATGAGAGAGAGAGAGCTACAAAATGCCTC